TCGTTAAAAATAATTCTCCTAATTTCGAGAGAATTTCAAACATAATTCCTCGATATTTTGAAAGGAAATTCGGCTAAATCTCCGTGCCTCATGTGTCAGAAATTACAAGTCGCGAAAGAATTCTCACGCTTGACAAAGCCAAGCTAATCGAACTTCCAGGCTTCCTGCAAGGTCGATAAGCATTCGAGATCCTATCCTAATCGCTCGCCAATCTTGCCCCGAGTCCAATCGGATTCTCGTCACGTACTCATAGATATAGTAGTCGCCGCGATGTGTCTCGCATTGTTAGCTGGCGAACGAAATCAAGAATCTCCGCAGGAAGTTTTCTTCGCTTAATAAAACGGCATAGAGAAATCATATGGTTTTAATCTATTTTTATTATTTGTTTACTGATCGTCAAACAAATGCGATACATCGTTTGACACAACAGGAATTTGTCTGTCAAAGTATTTCATATAGTTTTAAATATGATATTTCTTTTTATTCAACGTCATTCAAAAAATTGCTTTTTTTGAGAATAACTCAAGTTGTCTTAGATCGTTATTTGTTATAAATCAAAAAATGTGATATAAAAATAGAAGCTGAAGAATAGACGAGCAAATAATGTTATTGCGAGATTACATATGGTTTATCTGAAAAAGACCACTGTTATCTCAAATTGCACTCTGCAAGCTCAAGATGCTAATCTTCAATCTCAACGATGTCGTAAACTGAAGTTATTTCGCGGGATGCAAAGTTACTCACATCAGACAATGCACGATATTTAACGTATCTCTCAATATTTTTCCATGACGGGCAAGGGGAAGAAGATATTTTGTTATGCATAAATATTACATGAAAGATTAAAATATCAGATCGAGTTAGTATGTCTTAAAGATGAATAAAAGCTTATGAATAAAATTATCTTTTTTCGAAAATAAGAAAAAAGATAAGGATAAAGCATAAAATTGAATGCGAAAAGGATTGAGAAGGATTGCTGAGCAATTTATCAAACCCTACTCATTTTGTTCTCAAAGTCGTCTTCATCGAGCTGTTTCCCACGATTGACACTTGAAAGATAGG